TGAAGAGGGTTGTTCGAGGTTCCCTAACAGTGATGAAGGGGGGGTTACAAGATTGTAACAGAGAACAGAGTGAAGAGGGTTGTTCGAGGTTCCCTAACAGTGATGAAGGGTGTTCGTCACGGTAATCTATATACTCTCTCGGGTACGACGGTGACGGGAGATGCAGCAGTTGGAGTTGAAGGAAGTGGTGGAGACCCATGTGAGCACACACGGTTATGGCATAGGTGGCTTGGGCACTTCAGGGGAAGGGAGCGATAAGGAATGCTATGTCGTCACGGGTGGCGAGGATACCTCCGGGAAGTGGAGTCTTGATTCTGGTTGCTCTTACCATATGTGTCCAAATAAGAAGTGGTTTACTACGTACAGGAGCATTGATGGTGGAACCGTACTGATGAGGAACAACCATGCTTGTAAAACGTTAGGGCTAGGCGATATTAAGATCAAGATGCATGATGGAGTGGTTCGAACCTTGACGGATGTAAGGTACATTCCCGACTAGCGGAAGAATCTTATTTCAGTTGGTGCTTTGGACTCCAGGGGTTACAAGATTGTAACAGAGAACAGAGTGAAGAGGGTTGTTCGAGGTTCCCTAACAGTGATGAAGGGTGTTCGTCACGGTAATCTATATACTCTCTCGGGTATGACGGTGACGGGAGATGCAGCAGTTGGAGCTGAAGGAAGTGGTGGAGACCCATGTGAGCACACACGGTTATGGCATAGGTGGCTTGGGCACTTGTCAGAGAAGGGTCTGGATATGCTTGGTAAAGAGGGTTTGCTAAAGAATCTAAAGAAACCTTGCATGGATTTTTGCGAGGATTGTGTGTATGGAAAGGCGCACATGGTCCAGTTTCTGAGGAGCAAGCACAAGAGCAGAGGGATACTAGATTATGTGCACACGGATGTTTGGGGTCCAGCTTCGACAACTTCCAAAGGTGGTTCCAGATATTTTGTCTCATTCATAGATGATCATTCTAGGTATGCTTGGATTTATTTTCCGAAGCATAAGAATGAGGTATTTGAGACATTCAAGAAGTGGAAGGCGATGGTTGAGAACAGGACAGGGAAGAAATTAAAGACACTGAGATCTGACAACGGTAAAGAGTATACAGATGATGCCTTCAAGGAGTTCTGTGATCAGGAGGGTATTGCTAGACACTGGACAGTTAGATCTACACCACAGCAGAATGGGGTCGCGGGACTGAATCGAACACTGCGGGAGAAATCAGTGAGTATGCGATCATATGCTGGTTTGGGCAAAGAATGGTGGGCAGAGTCGATTGCTACATCTTGCTATATTATGAATCGATCTCCACATTCGACATTAGACGGTGATATACCTTATTGGGTGTGGTCAGGGGAGCATGCAGATTATAAGAGGCTCCAGATTTTCGGGTGTACCGCCTACTATCACATCAACGAGGGAAAGCTTGACGCGAGGGCCAAGAAGGCAATTTTCTTGGGGTATGCTAAGGGCGTAAAAGGCTACCGCCTTTGGTGTACAGAAGATTCGAAGTTCGTGATCAGCAGGGACGTTACCAGATTCGAAGTTCGTGATCAGCAGGGACGTTACCTTTGATGAGAAGTCCATGATTGCTAAGGTGCCCAAGGATGATGGTGTTGAGACTGTTGGGACTTCCAAGTCCCAAGTTATTGAGATAGAACCTAAAGACCAACCAGGTTCTAGTCATGTTCAAGTGGGAAATCAGGTAGATGATGAGCTTGAGCAGGAGGAGGTTCAGAAGGAGAATACACAGGCACAACAATAACAGCAGCTCGAGGATAGCTTGGCTTCCACTAGGCCAAGGCGAGTATACAAGCAGGTACAGAAGCTGGGGGCTGATCAACCCCTGAAGCACTATGGGCAGGTTAATTTGATTGAGTACGCACTCTCGGTGGAGGAAGATGAGACGGTCTCCTTCAATAAAGCTATTCGGTATAGAGATAGCGAGAGTTGGTTGGCTGCGATGGAGGAGGAGATGGAATCTCTCCGGAAGAACCAAACATGGGAAGTGATCCCATTGCCCGTAGAAAAGAAAGCTATAGGTTGTAAGTAGCTGTATAAACGAAAGGAAGATCCTTCAGAGCTCGGTGGTATAAGATACAAGGCGAGGCTAGTGGCTAAGGGGTTTGCACAAAGAGAGGGTGTGGATTACAATGAGATATTTTCTCCGGTGGTGAAACACACCTCTATTCGGGTGCTATTGAGTATTGTTGCTCATGGTGATCTTGAGCTGGAACAACTCGATGTCAAGACGGCCTTCTTGCACGGAGACTTGGATGAAGAGATCTACATGCATCAACCTGAGGGTTACAAGGTTGAGGACAAGGAGAATCATGTATGTCGCTTGAGGAAGTCACTTTATGGATTGAAGCAATCTCCGCGATAGTGGTACAAGCAATTTGACTCCTTCATGCTGAAGCATGAGTTTTTCTGAAGCGACTATGATTGTTGTGTTTACATTCAAAAACTTCGTGGAGGTAATTATATTTATCTCCTTTTGTATGTGAATGACATGCTTATTGCATCGAAAAACAAAGTGGAGATAGATAACCTGAAATCTCAACTTAGCAATGAGTTCGAGATGAAGGACATAGGCGCTGCAAAGAAAATACTGGGTATGGAGATTAGAAGAGAGCGGACGAATCGGCGATTGTTCTTGAGTCAGAAGGGCTACATAGAGCGGGTGATAGCAAGGTTCGGGATGCAAAGTGCAAAGTCGGTGGTGACCCCATTGGCTCCACACTTTAGGTTTTTAGGTAAACAATCTCCCACTACAACGGAAGATAAGACACACATGGAGCGTGTTCCTTATGCTAGTTCAGTTGGCAGTTTGATGTACGTCATGGTGTGTACACGTCCAGATATTTCACAGGCGGTTAGTGTGGTCAGCAGATTCATGGCGAATCCGGGAAAGTCGCACTGGGAAGCGGTGAAATGGGTCCTGAGGTACTTGAAAGGTACTGCGGATACGAGTCTGTGTTTTGATGGAGATACATGTCAGATCGACGGGTATGTGGACTCAGATTATGCAGGCAATCTAGATAGACGGCGATCTACTACTGGTTATGTATTCAGGATACATGGAGCTCCAGTTAGTTGGGAGGCCGAGTACATGACCATGACGGAGGGAGTAAAGGAAGCATTGTGGTTGTTGGGTCTTCTAGACGATTTGGGGATTGAGCAGGAGAGCGTGAATTTGTGGTGCGACAGTCAAAGTGCAATTCACTTGGCGAAGAATCAAGTTCACCATGCTCGTACCAAGCATATCGATGTCATGTATCATTTTGTGCGGGATGTCATAGAGGAAGGCGATATTTCTCTCATAAAGGTGCATACAAATGAGAATCCCGCGGACATGTTAACCAAGGTGGTCACAGGTAGCAAGTTTCAGCATTGCTTGGACTTGCTTCATATCAGCCCGTGTTGATTTGCCCAAGAGGGCATAGCCCTGCGGGGCGGTGATGGAGGTGAGGTGGAGACTATGTTGGAGAATTATTGCAGAACTACGGTTAGCTTGATCCCTGTGGAGGGTACGTAGGCAGTCGCGGTATAGTGGCACAGTTGGTTTGGCCTGGTTTCTTGGCCTGGATCTCTCTGGTGGAGTTCGTGGGGTTCTTCTGGTGTTCGTCCAAAATTTGAGGTTTATCAAATGATGTACAAGGTGGAGAATTGTGATCGTGGGGGACAGGGAGGGCCCACCCACGTGCTCGCGCCGTTTCCTCCCTTGTGCGGCCACGACGAACTCGTGGGCACGAGTTCGTGCGCCGCCTGCACCGTTTGCCTTTCTCGCGCACGCGCGTTCTTTTTCCCGCGCTTCTTCGCCCGCCAAAGTTCTTCGGATCCCCCCCTCTGATCTCCTATAAATAGTGAAGGGATGAATGTGGTTTTGGTGTGAGGAAAAATCATTTGTGGGTTAAGTGAGGTTATAAAGAAAAAGAGAGCGAGTTGAGAGAAAACTTGTAATAAGTTTAGTATTCTCCTCATAGTGAAAACCCCCTCCCGTGGACGTAAGCTAGTTAGCCGAACCACGTAAATCTCGTGTTTGTATTGTCTTAACTATTTGTTTTACTTGCAGGTGCCCTCGATAGTTCAGTCCTTGCACTGATGAGAGGAAGAGTGGATATCTCACTTTGCTGAGATATTTCGCTACTGAATCTGGTTTCCTTCGCGAAACACGAGAGGAAGAGTGGATATCTCACTTTGCTGAGATATTTCGCTACTGAATCTGGTTTCCTTCGCGAAACACAAATATCGAGATTGACTTGTACTTTTGTAAAAACAAAAGTCAGGGCTCTCTCTCTCAGGACACATCGCTTCCGCGACGGTGGGCGTGACTCTGCGCCCAACACAGATGATAACACATTTCCCTTTAATTTTAATTGCTTTTCCATTTGCAGGCTTGCAGAAGATGTACACCTAAAAATCTATTATTACAAACCGATGATCACGAACCGGCTAGAGCCATTCGTGCTGATAACGTGTTGTAATCTTGTTGTTATATCTACATACATCATATATATCAACAGTAAGAATCAAACATGAAATGTAAATGTAAATAGACAAGAGAAGAAATAGGAAGAAAAGTGATTCTCATTTTATTCATCTTCCTCATTCCTCCATACATTTTGTCTTCCATGGATTACATTATATAGATGTGGAAGAGAATACTAAAAATCACAAGTAGGTGAAGAGACTTCTTCTAGTAATGTCCACATTCGTTGTATTTATATTTACAACACTCCATTTAATTAATGGGTTTTCAGGTGATGTTTAGATATTGCCATTGTTATCTGTTGCTTGGATATATAAAAGTTTTTCTTAGCTTTTAAATTAATATTAGAGCTTCTGTAGCATCAAATTTGTCTAATTTCAAAAACCGCATGAGATTCTGTGTTCTGAGTGGCACGTGAACCATCAAACTAGTTTAGAAGAACGTGCACGTGTTCTCACAGAATTCTGAGGAAAATAAAAAAGAAAATCATAAAGTCTGGACATGTCATTTGCAGATAATAAATCCCGAATTCTGATATATATATTTTCTGTCCGCTTGTTTCTTTCTTCTTTTGCATGCACTTGAGTTCCAGTTAGTTCTCATCAAAACTAGGCAAAAGCAAAAACTACACCATGTGTTTTCTGACTACAGGGAGCTTATTGACCTGCAAATGAATACCAAGCTTCAACCTCGCTGGAGAAAGTTGTTGAAGACTCTCTAGTAACCTGGTCAAAAAACATCAAAATTAAGTGATTTGAAGCAATATAATCAATCTATAAAGTTCCAGAGTGACAAATATTAGCAAGAAGGAACAACAAAACCAAAGAACTGTGATGAGAGGTGAGATATAGTAAGACGGAACAAACGTATCATAACAGTCGATATATAGTTGGATAATAATATCATATTGCATTCAGCCTCTAATAATATCATATTGCATTCAGCCTCTAGTAGTTTCTTTTGCTATAGAAATCTAGGACCGCATATCACAAGTTGCCCTTGCAGCCATATAAACAGTTTAGTGGTTCTCTTGCTAATCATCATATATTTATGACTGTTTTTCAAGCAATAAGCAAATGTTGTGAGTTAGAATGTGATAAGGAATGAACACAGATGAAATCTATTAAGTGTGTTAAAGTTAAGTGAGTTAATATGAAGAAAATCTCTAAAAATAAAAGCACAGGTAAACAATTTGAGGATTCTGTCAAACTAATACCACATCCACATCACAGCTCGGGATATATCATTATACGAATCTAAAAAAAGAGTCTCAAGCATGCAGTGAATTATTTTCTTGAACCATGCACACTTGTTATACTAAGAGGCACGAAATATATGATCCTTAGCATTAATAAACCTGAAAAGAGAAAAGATAATCAACATCCACTAGGAAATTAGATCATGTAGTGCAGCACAGGAATAGATCAACGAGCAAAAACCATACAGCCAAAAAGCATAAAAAGCAAAAGCCAGTTCCAAGTACTGAACTAACGGGAAATCTAATATCAATAATTAATGAAACCAAGAAATATGGCATATCATAACTACTGAAACTTGGAATATATAATCGTAGAAGCATTTATCAAAGCATTACTTAATTAGTGGAGACAAAGTTCTTGATTATAGGAAAATGTGATGAATAATTGAAACATTTCAACTCACCATCCTGGGGAATCGCTTGTCCATACCTGCCCTATGCAACTTGTCAAGATTCAGTAATGCTTCTCTGCACTCTTCCCTATCATCAATATATGTCTTCTTATCACCTCTAATTTGATATGATTCGTGGCCTCTGGCTAGGACAAACTAAAAATGTGTCTCATGTCAGGGAGTAAACAATGAATAGTTTTTTGAGAAATTAATGCATTCAAGAGAAAAGAAAATAGTCATGTACATAGTGAAGACAAAAGAATTTTCTCCGTTACATGAAAAAAGAAAAATATATAATGAGGCCATAGGCAAGGGGTCTAAAGTTGATTGATGAAAAAAATCCCTATAATCACATAGGCCCTCCTCGTGGCTAGATAAACCGCATTAGTCTAAGCAGGGAAATGTGTCCGGCCCTCATATTTTAATCCCTTCTCTTTCAAAGTTAAATGAATAGATACTTGAAGTCTTGAACCCACCAGTTCCTCTCCTACTAAACCCATATATTCTTTACCAAATTTAACCAAAAAAGTGCTAGGAAGTGGAAATGGCGCTTCATGATTGAGGACGACAATGCCTTAAAGACGGGATTTATCCAACGAAAACTTTAATTCTAGTAAATTATCTCGCTCTGTATATAAACTCTCAAAGCTCTAATTCCAATAAGCAATCTACATTTATATATGAGCTGTCTTTCTTTACAAGTAAAGTATTTGCCTTGTATATATTTCATGTTGTATAGAGGGGACGGATATCAGGAAAACCCCCAAATAGTAACAACCAAGATAATGAGGACAATAATGAGAGTTTCCTTTTTTTTGTTATCTGGCTTTTATTTATTTATTTCAGTTTTAGTAGTAGATTTGAATTTTGAAATTGTGGTTTAAATTTGGCATTTGAGTGATTTTAGGGAATTGGTTAGAGTGATTTGAGGGATTGTAATTGACTAATTGCTCTATAAAAGAGCTCTGTATTCAGATTTTTGAATCATTGATGAATGAATGAAGAAATGAAATTAGCTATTATGGTGTGAAACCTTGGGTGTGAAACCCTAGCTTTTCTTTTCTGCGTTCTCCTCTTCCACGAAATAACTTAGCCGCCTTTCCACCCTCTTCGTCTTCTTCCTCCAACAACCAAACAAGTCAACTCTCATCTCCCCTCTCTGTCAAACATCCAGCCGAGCCCTTCCCCTGCACCCATCACGGACCCATCAACTTTCCCCACCTGCTCTTCTTCTTCCCCTTCTCATTTTCATGTCCAGACTCTCCAACCCAAAGCTTTCCTTCTGAATCCTTAAGGCAAACAGCAGTATGTCCAGCAAAAGCTCCAGTTACTCACTTTCCCAAGGTCTCAAATCCATCCCATCTACCACGAATTTTGATATAACTCAAAGTCTCCTGAGCGAATGTCGTCAACAGTGACATTAGTGAACCATTGATGCGAATTTTGATATAACTCAAAGTCTCCTGAGCGAATGTCGTCAACAGTGACATTAGTGAACCATTGATGTTAGCAAAAGTCCCAGTTCATGCCAGATCTAGTCCCGCAATCGCCGTCGCTCCACTTCATCGTTTTCACAACCGCTTGCGTCATCCGACAGCATTTTGTCCCCAGCCGTGCTGTCGTCCAGCCCGCCGCAATCCTCAGCCACCCGACGACCGACACCCCTTGGTCAGCCATCGTTTTCTCTTCGTCCGATTTCAGATCGAAGAATTCACAGCGAAAACTTCAGATTTGGGATTGTTTTGATTCAGACCGAGGACGATATCATTCTCTTTCGACTCAGTATTTTCTGTTAAACTCATTTTATTAGTTAATTGCATGCGTATTAAATCTCTAAACTATTATCATATATTCACTGCTTAAATTATATTGTGAGTTGAGAGTACTGACGTGTGACTGCTGAAATTTGATATTGATTGTAAAACTTGTGCAATGATAATGAATATTGCAATTAAATTATTCGAGATTGAGATTGTTTATGACTGTCGATGCAAATCTTATTAAAATCCATCTGTCACATTAATTGTTTTTAAATTAATTTCCTACCGAATATTATGAATTTTGGCGAAACAGTGCTTTGTTTAAATTAAATCGCTGATTCCGATAGACCCCCTCCTTTGTTTCGCATCATTTTGGTATCAGAGCATGGTTCTAGGGTAGGAAATTTTTATTTTTTAATTAGTTGAGTTTTTTATTTAATATTAAAAAAATCTCATTCATCTCATTTAGTTGTTAGTACATGTCACTCGCACATGTCTACCATGTCGATTAGAAAAATCAAGTAAGTCAACTAGTGAGTCAAGCATGTCAAGCAGTACAAATCCCGAATTCTCTGAACTACTTAAGCAAATCGCTGAGTTAAACGGACAAATAAGTAACTTAACACATGAGAGCAGAGCTACTCGCGAGATCCTGAATAACACCAATGAGAGACGTGTTAGGTTAGAAGAAACGCAGGTTACAACTCCGCCACGAGGTCAAGGCTATGGATACCCACCGCAAGGTCATGGGTGTATCGTTCATCGACCCCCACCTCAACTTGTGCCTGATCCACCAACCTTTGATGGTAAGCTCGATCCACAAACTTTCTTTGACTGGCAGAAGAGCATGGATCGCTACTTCGATTGGTACGTCCTGACGGAATCCCAAAAAGTCAAGTTTGCCACAATGAAACTCATTAGACCCGCCTGTCAATATTGATCCAATTTTGAAATGATAAGACATATTAGAGGTGAGTTACTAATTTTTACTTGGTGAGAAATGGCCGACGAACTGAAACGGAAATATCTTCCGCCATCGTTTATTTATGGATTGCTAGATAAGTGGCATTGTCTTACTCAGGGAACCAAATCTGCAAAAGAGTACGTTGCTCAATTTGATGAATTGTTTACTCGATGCAGCACCATTGAGCAAGAGGCACCAATGAAAGTTTTGTCAAAGTTTAGAGCCAGATTGAGATGTGACCTCCCGAACTCTTTGCTCGAGGAGTAGACACCCTTGAGAGAGCTTACGCCTTAGTTCAAGATCTAGATGAAGCTAAATTCCACCAATCTCATAGGAGTCAGGATTTTCGAACTCATTTCTCCCAGCCTTCTCGTGCCACTACCTCTAGTCAGCCTCCGAGTCAATTTAACCCTAGTTATTCCCAATCTAGAGTCGATCCCAAGGGCCAAAAATCAGAGAGAGATCTCTCCAAACTTAATCCAATAATTCAGTGTTACAATTGTCAATGATATGGGCACGTTACATCCGTCTGTACAACTCCGTTCAGAGTTAGAATTAATAAGCCGCCTATAACGGAATCAAAATCTATTATTGAGAAAATTGTTAACCAGACCGTAGATTTGATAGAATCTAACTCTGATAAGGAATTCCAGAATATTAAAATTGACAAACCATGCATTCCCATTTCTTCTGAAACTACCCCTCTGATCACGGAGCCCACTGATGTTATCTCTGAAGTTGTTTTTGAAATTGAAACTTCAACTCCTCCTGAACCAACTCCAATGATTGAAAACGTTGTTGATATTCCCCACGAAGTCCTCCCAGACAAACATGACACCCAACACATTCCTGATTTAGTTCTTGATTCGGTTCACTCGGATATCTGTATGGAAGTTGAAACCCAAACTGAGCATAGTGAAACAGCTACCATATTAGATATCACATCCCCATGCATTGTCCGATAGTCACTCACATATACACTGATCCTTTTTGGGAATCTATAGTGATTAGGGATACAAGTTTGAGCACGAGTGTTTTTATTTCCTTTCTCCTTCATATTAAGCACACAAAAACACTCCTGCATGCATGTGTTTGCACGTTCCTCCTTATCACTTCAAAAATAGGAAATTTGTTATACATATTAACGAAGGAACACCTAATTATTCCATTTGATAGAGGATGTCATGCATTTTAGACACTTCATTGAGTTTACATCTGTCATTGATCACATTATTCGATTCTGCATTTTATCATAATCATTTGAGTTGATTTACATCATTTTTATTTTGCATTGGTCATATATTGGGGAATCAGTGATCTAACTTGAATAAATACATTGTTAACTGAAATGAATGATATGAAGTCAGGACATAATTTAAAACTGTTAATGATGATAATTGAGATGGTTTGGACTTGTCCAATACAGTTTATTTATAGCTGTTTAAGATTTGACATGATATTTATGAACTTTTCCAACTCTTGAACTAATTAATAGCAACATTTATTTTATCGATTTGGTCATAGGTCTATTTTTAATATTGATTGATTAAACAGTTCACAATGTTATTGGCAGCCCACTGATATAAGCCTGACCCTAGCCCATTATTTCTGAGAGTTTTTTCACTTTACCCCCACTTCTATATATTCACCCATACAACAGTGAATTTTGATAATATTTTAGATGATGAATTTACAATACAATCTAGCTAATGATTTGAGATGCAGGAAAGTAACTGAAGGCAGATTAAGATACAGACAGAGTATATTGAAGATGACAAGTTTCTGCAGCTAACTCGACGGAGTCGAGTTTTCTCCCACCCGGGGAGAATAATGAGGACAATAATGAGAGTTTCCTTTTTTTGTTATCTGGCTTTTATTTATTTATTTCAGTTTTAGTAGTAGATTTGAATTTTGAAATTGTGGTTTAAATTTGGCATTTGAGTGATTTTAGGGAATTGGTTAGAGTGATTTGAGGGATTGTAATTGACTAATTGCTCTATAAAAGAGCTTTGTATTCAGATTTTTGAATCATTGATGAATGAATGAAGAAATAAAATTAGCTATTATAGTGTGAAACCCTAACTTTTCTTTTATGCGTTCTCCTCTTCCACGAAATAACTCAGCCGCCTTTCCACCCTCTTCGTCTTCTTCCTCCAACAACCAAACAAGTCAACTCCCATCTCCCCTCTTTGTCAAACATCCAGCCGAGCTCTTCCCCTGCACTCATTACGGACCCATCAACTTTCCCCACCTGCTCTTCTTCCCCTTCTCATTTTCATGTCCAGACTCTCCAACCCAAAGCTTTCCTTCTGAATCCTTAAGGCAAACAGCAGTATGTCCAGCAAAAGCTCCAGTTACTCACTTTCCCAAGGTCTCAAATCCATCCCATCTACCACGAATTTTGATATAACTCAAAGTCTCCTGAGCGAATGTCGTCAACAGTGACATTAGTGAACCATTGATGCGAATTTTGATATAACTCAAAGTCTCCTGAGCGAATGTCGTCAACAGTGACATTAGTGAACCATTGATGCCAGCAAAAGTCCCAGTTCATGCCAGATCTAGTCCCGCAATCGCCGTCGCTCCACTTCATCGTCTTCACAACCGCCTGCGTCATCCGACAGCATTCTGTCCCCAGCCGTGCTGTCGTCTAGCCCGTCTCAATCCTCAGCCACCCGACGACCGACACCCCTTGGTCAGCCATCGTTTTCTCTTCGTCCGATTTCAGATCGAAGAATTCACAGCGAAAACTTCAGATTTGGGATTGTTTTGATTCAGACCGAGGACTGTATCATTCTCTTTCGACTCAGTATTTTCTGTTAAACTCATTTTATTAGTTAATTGCATGCGTATTAAATCTCTAAACTCTTATCATATATTCACTACTTAAATTATATTGTGAGTTGAGAGTACTGACGTGTGACTGCTGAAATTTGATATTGATTGTAAAACTTTCCGATTTCAGATCGAAGAATTCACAGCGAAAACTTCAGATTTGGGATTGTTTTGATTCAGACCGAGGACGATATCATTCTCTTTCGACTCAGTATTTTCTGTTAAACTCATTTTATTAGTTAATTGCATGCGTATTAAATCTCTAAACTATTATCATATATTCACTGCTTAAATTATATTGTGAGTTGAGAGTACTGACGTGTGACTGCTGAAATTTGATATTGATTGTAAAACTTGTGCAATGATAATGAATATTGCAATTAAATTATTCGAGATTGGGATTGTTTATGACTGTCGATGCAAATCTTATTAAAATCCATCTGTCACATTAATTGTTTTTAAATTAATTTCCTACCGAATATTATGAATTTTGGCGAAACAGTGCTTTGTTTAAATTAAATCGCTGATTCCGATAGACCCCCTCCTTTGTTTCGCATCATTTTGGTATCAGAGCATGGTTCTAGGGTAGGAAATTTTTATTTTTTAATTAGTTGAGTTTTTTATTTAATATTAAAAAAATCTCATTCATCTCATTTAGTTGTTAGTACATGTCACTCGCACATGTCTACCATGTCGATTAGAAAAATCAAGTAAGTCAACTAGTGAGTCAAGCATGTCAAGCAGTACAAATCCCGAATTCTCTGAACTACTTAAGCAAATCGCTGAGTTAAACGGACAAATAAGTAACTTAACACATGAGAGCAGAGCTACTCGCGAGATCCTGAATAACACCAATGAGAGACGTGTTAGGTTAGAAGAAACGCAGGTTACAACTCCGCCACGAGGTCAAGGCTATGGATACCCACCGCAAGGTCATGGGTGTATCGTTCATCGACCCCCACCTCAACTTGTGCCTGATCCACCAACCTTTGATGGTAAGCTCGATCCACAAACTTTCTTTGACTGGCAGAAGAGCATGGATCGCTACTTCGATTGGTACGTCCTGACGGAATCCCAAAAAGTCAAGTTTGCCACAATGAAACTCATTAGACCCGCCTGTCAATATTGATCCAATTTTGAAATGATAAGACATATTAGAGGTGAGTTACTAATTTTTACTTGGTGAGAAATGGCCGACGAACTGAAACGGAAATATCTTCCGCCATCGTTTATTTATGGATTGCTAGATAAGTGGCATTGTCTTACTCAGGGAACCAAATCTGCAAAAGAGTACGTTGCTCAATTTGATGAATTGTTTACTCGATGCAGCACCATTGAGCAAGAGGCACCAATGAAAGTTTTGTCAAAGTTTAGAGCCAGATTGAGATGTGACCTCCCGAACTCTTTGCTCGAGGAGTAGACACCCTTGAGAGAGCTTACGCCTTAGTTCAAGATTTAGATGAAACCAAATTCCATCAATCTCATAGGGCTCAGAATTTTCAAACTCATCCCTCCCAGTCTTCCCGTGCCAATACATCTAGTCAGCCTCTTAGTCGATCTAACCGTAGCTCTTCCTAATCTAGAGTCGATCCCAAGGGCCAGAAGTCAGAGAGATCTCTCTCCAAACTTAGCCCAATAATGCAGTGTTACAATTGTCAAGGATATGGGCACGTTGCTTATGTTTGTACAACTCCGTTTAGAGTTAGAATTAATAAGCCGCCTATAACAGAATCAAAATCTATTATTAAAGAAACCATTAACCAGGTCGTAGATTTGACAGAATCTAACTCAGACAAGAAAATCCAGGATAGTATAATCGAAGAACCATGCACTTCTATTCATTCTGAAACTACCTCTGCAATTGTGAAGTTAATTGAATTTTCTTGTCAAACCCTCATGCATTGTCCCGATAGTCACTCACACATACACTGATCCTTTTTGGGAATATATAGTGATTAGGGATATAAGTTTGAGCACGAGTGTTTTCATTCTCTCTCATGTTAAACACGCAAAAACACTCATCCGTCATGCATGTGTTTGCACGTTCCTCCTTATCACTGCAAAAATAGGAAATTTGTTATGCATATTAACGAAGGAACACCTAATTATTCCATTTGATAGAGGACGTCATGCATTTTAGACACTTCGTTGAGTTACATCTGCCATTGATCACATTGTTTGAGTCTGCATTTCATCATAATCATTTGAGTTGATTTACATTATTTTTTTTATTTTGCATTGATCATATATTGGGGAATCAGTGATCTAATTTGAATAAATACATTGCTAACTGAAATGTATGATATTGAGTCAGGACCTAATTTAAAACTATTAATGCTGATATTTAGATGGTTCGGACTAGTCCAATAGAGTTTATTTATAGCTGTTTAAGATTTGACGTGAGATTTATGAGCTTTTCCAACTCTTGAGCTAATTAATGGCAACATTTATTTATTTGGTCATAGTTCTATTTTTAATATTGAGTGATTAAACAGTTCACAATGTTATTGGCAGTCCACTGATATAAGCCTGATCCTAACCTATTATTTATGAGAGTTCTTTCACTTTACTCCACTTCTATATATTCATCCATACAATAGTGAATTTTGATAATATTTTAGATGGTGAATTTACAATGCAATCTAGCTAATGATTTTGAGATGCAGGAAAAGTAACTGAAGGCAGATTGAAGATACAGACAGCAGTATATTGAAGGATGACAAGTTTCTGCCAGCCTAACTCGACGGAGTCGAGTTTTCTCCCACCCGGGTGAGAATTAATTGAGGACAATAATTGAGAGTTTCCTTTTTTTGTTTATCTTGGCTTTTATTTATTTATTTCAGCTTTTGTGTAGATTTGAATTTGAAATTGTTGCGTTTAAATTTGGCATTTGAGCTGATTAGGCAGGAATTGCGTATAGAGTGATTGAGGGATTGTAATTGGACTAATTGCCTCTATTAAGAGCTTTGTATTCAGAATTTTTGCAATCATTGCATGAATGAATGAAAGAATAAAATTAGCTATTAAGTGTGAAATCCCTAAACTTTTCTTTTATGCGTTCTCTCTTCACGAAATAAGTCCAAGCCAGCCTTTCCACCCTCTTCGTCTTCTTCCTCCAACAACCAAACAAGTCAACTCCCATCTCCCCTCTTTGTCAAACATCCAGCCGAGCTCTTCCCCTGCACTCATTACGGACCCATCAACTTTCCCCACCTGCTCTTCTTCCCCTTCTCATTTTCATGTCCAGACTCTCCAACCCAAAGCTTTCCTTCTGAATCCTTAAGGCAAACAGCAGTATGTCCAGCAAAAGCTCCAGTTACTCACTTTCCCAAGGTCTCAAATCCATCCCATCTACCACGAATTTTGATATAACTCAAAGTCTCCTGAGCGAATGTCGTCAACAGTGACATTAGTGAACCATTGATGCCAGCAAAAGTCCCAGTTCATGCCAGATCTAGTCCCGCAATCGCCGTCGCTCCACTTCATCGTCTTCACAACCGCCTGCGTCATCCGACAGCATTCTGTCCCCAGCCGTGCTGTCGTCTAGCCCGTCTCAATCCTCAGCCACCCGACGACCGACACCCCTTGGTCAGCCATCGTTTTCTCTTCGTCCGATTTCAGATCGAAGAATTCACAGCGAAAACTTCAGATTTGGGATTGTTTTGATTCAGACCGAGGACTGTATCATTCTCTTTCGACTCAGTATTTTCTGTTAAACTCATTTTATTAGTTAATTGCATGCGTATTAAATCTCTAAACTCTTATCATATATTCACTACTTAAATTATATTGTGAGTTGAGAGTACTGACGTGTGACTGCTGAAATTTGATATTGATTGTAAAACTTGTGCAATGATAATGAATATTGCAATTAAATTATTCGAGATTGGGATTGTTTATGACTGTCGATGCAAATCTTATTAAAATCCATGTGTCACATTAATTGTTTTTAAATTAATTTCCTACCAAATATTATAAATTTTGGCGAAACAGTGCTTTGTTTAAATTAAATCGCTGATTCCGATAGACCCCCTCCTTCGTTTCGCATCACAAGATGTCAAAAAACTTCTACCAGAGCTTCAATTCATCGTTACTGAATGCCTAGAAAATTCAGAAACAGGAGATCCCTTCCATGTGGCTCAGACTTCCAGACATGACAGAAATTGAGATCTATTTCATTTAAAACATACAAAACATGATTAAATAATTCCTGTACTAAAACTTTTACAATAATACAAGCTTGTGTATGTATGTTATACATCATAACAGACTACAAGAGAATATTGTCATGGGGGTTGAAAGTCATTCCAGCCAATTAATATCTTCCCATGTTAAGGTTGAATTTATTTGACATAGAAAACATGGCCATTGGCACATGAATTAGTAAGCGCACAACTTCAATTCGGTTCAAGTACCAGGTATGTCTACATCAAGGAGAAGATAGTATTGAGGAAAAACTCACAATTATATCACCTTCCTTTCCCATGGCTATAGCTGCCCGGATAGCTACTCTTCTGATATCATGTAGAAGAAGCCTATGACCATTTGGAAGAACTGGGTAGCGACCATTATCACCATACTGCAGATAGTCGTTCATGGTCCATCCAACACCAGCCAACATGTCATCAAAGATTTCCTCTTATACAAATAAATGTCAATTCCATGCTAGACCTTCTTTTTTTCCTAAGGATGGAAAATACAGAGTTGGAGATGATGAAATATAAGAATATATTTAGAATACTTACTTTGATTCTCTGACTTTGGGTTGCCGGTTGTCAGAATAACCACTTCACTTTTCTCAGTTGCAACTTTTGTCAGCATTGGTCTCTTTCCTTTATCAGTTTCCCCAGCGCATCCAAACACTGAAGGCAATTCAACAGAGAAAATAATGAACCTTAGCACTAGTCGAAAATAGTTTGCTCTTCATCTCAGTTTCCATTTGAAATTGGTGTAGGAAAAGACGTAAAATTCTATATGTAAAAAGATAAATAACCATGAAGTGTAGATTTACCTAGGATAGACTGCACTGCATAATACTTCATAATATATAATTTGAAATAAATAGATCAAATGGAGAAGCATTATACCAGTAATAATTCTCTGTGCCCCAAGCTCCCTTGCTGCATCCATTAGCCTAAAAAATGAATCTGGTGAATGTGCATAGTCCACAACTACTGTAAAATTTTGGCCCTCATTTATCAGCTCAAACCTACCAGGAACCCCGTCCATACATTCGATACCTCTCACAATGTCCTCCATCGGAACACCTACAGCAATCCCAACAGACACTGCAGCTAGAATGTTATATACATTGAACCTTCCAATCGAATTTGAAGAAATTTCTAATACCCCCTTCGGTGTCTTAACTGCAACCCATGTCTTGAGCAGTGAGAGCTCAATCTTCAAAGGGTACACATCAGCCTCCTTGTTCTCCATTCCAAAGGTAACCACAGGAACATCAGGGTTCCCTTGAGCAATAAAAAATGGTGCATTTTGATCATCAATGTTCACAATTTTCCGATGCTTTAGCGGATTGACCATCTTTCTAAACAACTTAGCCTTGCAATTTCTATACTCCTCTTCAGTCTTATGAAAATCATGGTGATCTCTTGTCAAATTCATGAACACTGCAACATCAAAATCTATCTCATCACACCTGCCAACTGCCAATCCTATTGAAGAAACCTCCATAACTGTAGCTTTGGTCCCATTGTGAACCATCTTTGCCATCAATTTCTGGGCTGTCACTGCATCAGGAGTTGTATTTGGAGCTTCCAGCTGGTGATTCCCACAAACATGATAGGCAACAGAGCCCAACATTCCAGTCTTAGTGCCCGAGGCCTCCAAAATTGCCTTTACCAAGTGACTGGTTGTGGTTTTACCATTTGTTCCAGTGATGCCAATAACAGATAATTTCTTCGACGGGTTTTGATAAAAAGTTGCAGCAAGAATAGAGAGTATCAAATTGGTGTCCTCTACTAGTACTAGAGCCGTAGAGCCTAATTTTTCACCTACATTGACATGCGCAGTAGCCACAACTGCAACTGCCCCTCTCTCAATTGCTTCAGGAATGTACAAATGCCCATCGGTTTTGTACCCAGCACAACAAACAAAGAGATCACCAGGATTTATCTCTCTCGAATCATTCTTAATCCCGGAGACTAAGACCTCAGGGTCACCTCGAATCAAAACAGGACCAATACCAATCTTCTGAATGAGTTCAGAAAGACTCATCTCAAACTTGGGCTCAACAATTCGAGACCGAGAATTCGATGAATGCTCTCTTTGAGGAAAATCATCAAGCAGTTGGCGTTCAATATAGCTAGCAGCACAATTTTGATCCGCGACTGCATGTTTAGAGCTGCAATTGAGTTTTTTCCAAATGGGTTTTCTCCCATGTTGGTGATTTTTGAAGGAGGGGGAAGAGAGGAGGAGGGTTCGATGAGAGGAGAGAAGAGGAGAGGGGGATTTGGAGAAGGGGAGGAGAGTGGAGAAATCCATGAAAAGTGAAGGAAGAAAGGAGACTCAAGCTTGAAGAGGATTGTTTGGGAATGGCCATGGAGATTAGAGTGGAATAAAGAGGAGGAATGGTGTTGTTTAGCCATGAGAAGAATGAGAAAGGGGTTTCAAACGAAGAAGACAAGTACACTTGAGATACGTCTCAAGTACAATTATTCCTCCTACGGCTCCGATAAGAATCGAGAGGGAGGGATTACCAAATTTCAACCTCATGAGAAGGTTATTTAGATATTAGTCCCTCACATCTTCAATTATTCCACAGTGGTCCTCCTATCTCCGAAGAAACGTTGGCTTAAATGGTATTTTGACTGAGGGTCCAAATTGCCAGAATGCTTATAATTTGCGAGGCTAGTGTGGAGTTATTGATGATCTCAGAAACTAATATCTAAATAACCCCATAAGATTTAAGAAAAAAAAATGCTTGTAGCCCCTAAAATCAAAAAATAAATATGCTGCACCCTCAAGACTATGTCAACATACCAAAAAAAAAAACCCTAAATCCATATTTTTATGCTCCTAGACCTCAAATCTAATGTCATCTAATCTAACTGTTACTTTTCTCTTCTCCATTGTACCTCTACTCCCTAGGGTCGCTCCCCCTGGCTTTGCCAACACCAACCCAAGAAATCTAGCTTTCTTCTTCCTCTATCTTTCTAATTTTTAAAACTAAGTTAGGATTTTTTTTTCTCTATATAGTGGCAGGAGACGATGCATCATTATTGAACCCACTACCGCATTACTCACCTTTGTCATCACACTATTCATTTTTGCTTTCGCCAAATTACCATTTTCACTACCCCATCGCCGCACTTTTCTCCACCTCCTCTACCAAATTCACCACCATCGCCGCCGAATTCATTGCTCCTCCTCCCAAAAAACTTTTACCACTACACATCTCATTTGCCACGACCAATCTCCTCGCCCCTATCTCCTCCCAATTCCCCATTGCCACCACCGCCTTGTATGGAGCCTCTACCATTGTCACTATGTATGATTGTGTTAAAATTTTTTTATGTTGAATGTTTAACATGTAAGCAACTTCCTTGATTAATATTATCTCTTAATACCATCTTGCCTTTTAGACATCAGTGTCTAGTCTATTTCACTACCAAAAATCTTCTATCATGCTTCTTGATTTGCTTGCGTATCATCTCCACTAAAAGTAAGATTCATAATATTCATATCCTTCTTGTCCAACTGTTGAAGGTCTCAAGTAACATGACCATACATGTAAATCACATGAAAAAACTCATAAGTTTGACGACTAATGTGTAACCTAAACAATTAATATGTAACTTAAACAAATTAACTGTAATCTTAACAATTAACGTGTATCCTTAAGGATTAAACTGTAATCTTAATAACCAAGCTATATACTTAACAACTAGTGTTTATCCTTATCAGCTAAATTGTAACTCTAACAACCAATATATAAACGTAACAACTATGTTATAAACTTTACAACTAAACTGTAACCTCAATAACTAAGTTGTAAACTTAACAGCTAATGTGTATCCTTATCAACTAGACAGTAACCTTAATAACTAACATATAAGCTTAACAACTACGCTGTATCTTTAACAACTAAATTGTAACATTAACAACCAAGTTGTAAACTTAAACAACTAATATGTATCCTTATCAACTAAACTGTAACCTTAACAATGATGTTATAAACTTAATAACTACGATGTAAACTTAATAACCAATCTATATGGTTAATAACTAAAATTATGAGTTAGTTGTTAAACTTATTAGTTAGTCGTTAAACTTATGAGCTAGTCATTAAATTTATGAGTTAGTTGTTAAACTTAGAGATAGTTGTTAACCTTATTAATTAGTTGTTAAACTTATGAGTTTGTTTTTTAGATAATGCGGCAGCCGAGAATCGAACCAAATATAGTGGAAGCCATATTAGAACCTCCCAACCATGTGGGTCATCAACGGTACTCATGAGTTAGTTGTTAAACTTATGAAATAGTTGTTAATATTATTAGTTAGTCGTTAACCTTATTAATTAGTTGTTAAACTTATGAGTTAGTTGTTAAACTTATAAATTAGCAGTTAAACCCACAATAATGATGCATAAAAATAAAAAAGTGAAGAGAATCAACTTTGATAGTTGATCCTTAACAACTAGCTCATAAGGTTAACCACTAACTCACAACAATAACAACTAATGTATAAACTAAACAACTATTATAACCCTTAAAAATGCTAAATATTAATCTCCATAGAGAGGTCGACACATATGTTACACTTTACCTAACCGAACTAATTCACAACCAGGGTAACATTCGACTTTGCACGGCCGACTTGATTGGTCTACATCTCGCACGACCGAGTCAAAAGACGGTACTAATCGGCCAACCTCTCAGTGGACCATCAGCAATATGACTCGGCCTACTGATCAGCCGACATCTTATGTTACTGAGTCAAAAGATGGTACTTCTCGGTCCTGGACCTGAGGAGTCGAAAGACGATAATTACCTCAAACCCCTCACCAGCCGACTACTCTCCCATTAGCCACCCTAACAAACATCATTATTACCCTAGCCCTCATAGTCTTTATGACTCATCAGACCCAATTATCACCAAGCACTTATTGTCATTCTCATAAACAATGACTAGGTGACTCACTTTATTTAGCAACCGACACATAGCACATGTTTGCCGACTCAGCTGCCTAGTTAGACTCGGCCCAAGTTACTTTCTTGCCCAAACCCACTATAAAAGGAGCGGCATTGCATGAGGTAACTCTCTTTGGCCTTTTTACGTAACTAAGCACCTACTATATTACTTCTCCACTCAAGCCCATATACTGACTTGATCGTCGAATGAACAACCAGAGAACCCAACTCCATCCTCTTACGAGTTCCTTCATGTGCAGGGAAGAGCAACATGCCCTAGAACCATTCACCAGGAGGAGTTAGAGGACCCTAATCACTCCACAAACTCTTAGATAACCCATGTTTGATAACTGACAACAACAGTTTGGCACCCACGTAGGGCCTTCTTTCTTCTTCGATCACGATGTCTAGCTCTGAGCGTAGACCTGTCCTCCAATCCCTGAAGAACCACGTGCATGCTACTCAAGCCTAGATGAAGGTATCTGCTCAATGCATCACCCAATCCTTCTAGCATCAGTTTACAGTGTTCACCAACAAACTTCTCAACCGAATTCATCCTCAACAACCTTCCTTAACGTTGGCTCCGCCATATTCAACAGGCCAAACCTTAGCTGCTCACCCATCACTAGCGAGCCAGCTATTGGTCCTCCAACACCCACGCACGCTGTGCCAACTAGTCATCATAGAGACTTTGTTGAGTACGTGTCTCCTCAGCCATGCTAACAAGCTCGCTTTGCAGATTCACCGGTATTATTCGTAGTTTGTGGAAGCCACAGGAAAGACCCGCAGTCCTGGTCATGATGACCAATAACACATCATTGGAGGAGCATTACGAGGCCCTAGTCATCATCTTGCCTCTTGTGAGAAATTTAAGATGTCGCATGTGGAGAACACCCCCAACCGATGACATCATGAATGCCTCTTGTGAGAAATTTAAGATGCCGCATGTGGAGAAGTATAAGGGTGAAGGAAATCTAGCTAAGCATGTCTTGAACTACTCTAACATGATGACCATGTTGCAAGCATCAGAGGAAAACATTTGCATGTGCTTTCCTATTACTTTGATAGGAAGCGCAAAGCTTTGGTAAAATTTCCTAGCGAAGAAGTCCATCAGTAGCTTTGAACAGCTTAGCCAGAAGTTTGTGCATCACTTCTTGGCCGATACCAAGTAAAAGTTGTCTCCCCATGCATTAATACAAATAAGGCAGGAGCTTGGAGAGAATCTAAGAGACTACATCAAGAGGTTTCAGGTCAAGAGGTTAGAAGTTGACGATCCTAGGAGTGCGGTCTCCATGTCCACCATCATAGCTAGCCTACAGAATAGCGAACTAGCTGACTCGCTTGCTAAAAATAAGTCACTAGCTATAAGCAACTGATGGTCAAGGCACATAGATACATGGACATGGAAGACGCCTGAGCCTATAAGAAGGCAGCTAGGGAGGTAGAGGCAACAGCAGCAGCAACAACAATGGCAATAGCAACAACAGCAGCACCAAGAGCAACAATAGAAACACCAGCGTTTAGGACGGCAAGAGAGGCTGAGCCGCTGCTGAGAAAAGACACGACATGCCTATCGCACCTAGATCCGACCTATGATCAGACTAACCGATAGCAGACGATTCTCATAGCTCTCAATAGTTCTATCACAGAAGCCATCTACATGGTCTAGAAGGAGGGGCATCTCAACTCCGCCCCTCCTCGCATGAAATCAAATGCTCAGTCTTGAGACACTAGACAATACTGCCAATGTCATCAAGATCACGGCCATCTCACTAATGACTATTGGGTCCTTCAAAGAGATATTGATGACTTAATACAAAGAGGATATTTGAAGAGGCTATTCTCCCAGCGAGATAGGAGAGGGCCTGCTTTAGGAGGAGTCGGCAAGAGGTCCTGTTCCAAGTCACATAGTCCCTAGCCGCACCAGATGCTCGACTAGCCGAGCCAAACAATAGTTGGGTCATTAATACTATCAGTGGCGGACCCAGTGCTAGAGGACAATCTAACAATGATCGTAAAAAATATGCTAGGCGAGTGTTGCAAGTCAATTTATGTGACAAGAAGTTGAGGATCGATCAACCCATCTCCTTCAGTGACTCGTATTTGCGAGGTGTTGAGACGCCTCATGATGACCCTATAATCATCTTGGTCGGAATCAATAGCTTTCAAGTCAAGAGGATTTTGGTCGATACAAGAAGTTCTACAGACATCTCATTCATTGATGCCCTCAACCAGATGGGTATCGATAAGTCCAAGCTACAATCTTGTCAGGGTCTGCTCGTTGGATTCACGGGGCATTCGCTTTTACCAGAAGGGATGATCACTCACCCCCTAATGGTGGGCGAGTACCCTCGCCAGTCCTCACCAGTCCACTGTTCAAACTCAGTTTCTAGTGATGAATCTTAAGTCAACATACGATGTTATTTTAGTAAGAACTGCCTTCAATAACTTGTAGGAAATCTCATCCACCTACCACCAGATAGTGAAGTTTGCGACTCGTAAAGGTGTAAGAATTTCCAGAAGCAACCAGAAGGACGCCAAATCATGCTATCTGCTCTTGATTAAAGGAAGAGTACTAGAGACCCTAACCATTGAGAAGACATGACTCCAG